TATGTGTGTGTCTCATATATATATGTGTGTGTGTATATATATATCTATATATATATATATATATATATATAATGCGTGTGTGTGTGTATATATATACACAATTAAGAATTCTTGGCTACAGCTCACTGGAAGCATTCACATGTGTGAAGACGTAGAGGCACACAAGGGACTTGAAAGTAGAAAAAGTAAGCATGTTCATTGCAACAAATGTGGTAGATGACAGTTTACCTTTCTAAATATAATAAACCTGCATACATTCCTGCTGCCTAAAAGAGCTCTGAGCATCACCATGTCTACCACTTTGCAAGTGAATGTGCCCTTAGCTTAGTGAATGAGGTGAAGCTCTGTTGATTTCCATCACCCAATCATGTGCAAAAATACAGTTTATTTTTTAATTGTCCTTGCTCAATATTGGGTACTCTTTGCCAAGGGATTTTTCACCACATTCACTAAGCTAATGGAAAATTCCACTGCAAAGTGCAAATGCCCTTGTAACATGAACAGAGTATTTGCCTTGAGTAAATCAGGTCCTATGTGTACATTGAGAGAGAAAGGAAGCTATATTCACACAAGTTCACTCTGGCTAGGTCCAGTGGACAGATTCAATAAAATGTTTTGCATCAACTGGTGCTCAAACTACAGGATTAGCAGCTTTCATTCTCTCCTTAAAAATAACATACAGTGTAGAGTATCTATACTAAAACAAACATGACTGTATAATCTGACAGGCTGACACAAATGCCAAATTTCCCGCTGCTTTTGGGGGGTCTTGTTATAATAGGCACTGCAAAAGGTCTGTTTAGAGAGCAAGATTGTGGTAAGGTAATGCACTATTTTCTTAAGCTGTGCTATCCTACATTTCTCCCCCGCAGAGAAGTGGTTAAGAGTCTGATTTCTCCAGTCATGATACATATTTTCCTGCCACGGAGGTCAAGGCTCCATTCACAAAAACGTATTTTTTGAGCGGCATACTAATACATTTTAAGCCAGCAATGCAATCCAAATGGAGTGTTATAGTAATGAGCACTGCAATTATGTAGTTGCTATGTAGTAATTGGTTATATTAAAGCAATTATACAGTCCAATAACACATTTACAGATATATCTGTCATGTCACAATGTAAAACTAGCTCTAGTCTTGAAATGGCAGACATGTATGCACAATCTGACCACTGAACAACTGTTTATCTTTTTTCAATTCTTTTCAAGATCATAATTATATCACCAGAGCATGCATTGTCCTTCCACTGATTAGTTGTCAGCTTACAAACACTCCCCCAGCTATTCTTCTACTTCTAATATTCATACAAGTGTGATTTAAAAGGGCTTTAAGCTGGTACCTACACATCTACCACACCTGTTTGATTTATCTGATGTCAGCTAGATTGGGCAATAGTAATCTTATATATGTACATCTGTTGAAAAATTGACTTGTTATTCATAGATATGACCAAAAGTTTTTGCAGAACTCTTAGTGTCCCAGCAAAGTTTACTCCATACATACATTTGGAGGAACTAGATGGTCCAAACTTCATGTGGATCAAGTTTCTCATCAAACTGGTAAAGTGGTCATAGAACCTCCAGTTCACAGATAACTGCGGAGAGCACCAAGTCAGGAAGCTTATGCTTCCAACCCCCTGTGATATCATTGCCTCTATAGGCAATATAGGCCAGTGACATAATATAGGGAGGGGAATTTCACTTTGTATCCCCTTGCGATCCTTTGGGATCCCTATTGAACCCTGCCGGGTGACTGGAGGTAACACAGTTGAAAGAAGCCTTTACTTTCACTGCTCCCTTTGCACTTTTGCTGATAAAATGCCCTCAGTACAACTGTCTGTTAGTTTACTAATATGCTAGGCAAGTTGATTATACATTCTTAGGAGCAGGCACCAAATGTTAGTTGCAAGCACATTATATTTTAGATTTTCTTATTTCTTTAAATTGTAAAAGCCCCCAGGGGCATGAAAATACACTGGGAAAATGTTCTCTTTCCAGTACAGTGCTAATCAGAGCACTGAACCAAAACAAAGAGTCAACAGTGTATATCCAATAAGAATGCTTTGGCTAATATTGTTATTTTCTTACTACACTTACAATAAATGCAAGTGTATTGAATTGTGACATAGAGTAAACCTAGCTTTTATTTGGGAATTTAATTGAGTCATTCCTTTTCCTATTTATTAATTACGTGATATTACATTTTATGTCTTTTTTTTTTTAAATCTCAGAGTTATCAAGAAGTGAAGCCCAGAGCAAATGAAGTAATTAAGTAAAGTAAAGAATCAGAACACATAGAAATAAATAAAAAGGAAAGAAAAACACAAAGCAACGAGAGAAAGGGAAATGTGATCTAGCATTTCTACCCTTCCACCTTTTAAATCCTACTAAACATTTTCAGATAGCCCACATCCTGCAAATAGCCCACATTCAGCAAAAGCTGGGCCTCGGCTTGATTAAATTGGACCTGATCCTAAAATCCCACTGGAGCTAAGACCATTCAGAAAAAGAGCCCCTGCTGCCTGCTGAGATTGCAGTACTCAATTTTTGAATGGTGGGGTGTGGGGCTTGGGTCCATTGGGACTGGGACTTAGTTGGATTATTAAGTTTATTTCTGATTGGTTATTGCGGGTTCCAGCAATTTGCACATTACCTTTGCTTTGTGCAGTGCTTTATAATAAAAGTGCAACAGAAGATAGCTAACATATTTTTTTCTCTAATATTTCTTTACCATTGCTGCTTTTCCTTAGGGAGATACTTGACAGTCTTCCAGTACCCTTTGGTTTCCAAGTTGGGTAATGCCATTGGAGAACCTATTGGGTTTCTAGTGGCATCTCAGACAATTGCTAGATTTATTTACAAACCTCTTTTGAACTTGTTACAATCCCAATAAAATAGTCCTAGTGAGGTAATTAAGTGCTGATTTCTGTTATTGGCAGCCAAAAATAGTAAACTGTTAGAATGTTTTTCAAATAGAGGTGCCATTATGTTACTTCATTTAAACATTACTGTGAATGTTTAAATCAAAATGTTGACATTAATGTTGGTAGAGGTTAATGGCTTTTTTGCCTTGAATAATTTGTATCTGTTCCTGCAATAACATTTGCCGAGTCTGAGTCTTGGTTTGGCATTTACTGACCACATAACAGGGCCAGCAACTTAACTACTACACTAATCTCTTCTTAACTATAAGGCTCTTGGCCTGTAACTGTCCTACTCTGCCAAGTCTTCTGTGGGTATATCATACTGCTTAACTACGAGCTCCTATTGCAGATGTTGAAATTACTTTCAAGTGCTTTGTTTAATGAAATGATTGCTCACTAATACCTACAAAGGACTATCATATGGTTGTTTACACATACACACAAGGAGTAACTGTGAAATCTCTAGAATCTCTTCGAATATATACCACAGAATACTGGTATTATTGGCTTTTATATTATTTAGTTTTGGGCTTTTATGTTATAGTCACATATGCTAAGAATATGCAATACGATACTAGTTTATTAAGATCTGTCTTTCTTTTTTTTTTGGAGAATATCTTGAAATATAACTAAGAATAATTTTTACATATCTCTAAGAGGTGTTACAGATAAACAGAGCCTTGGGGAACCCCAAGCAAAGAGGAAGAGGAGAGGAGGAGAAACAGTTGTAGGTGCGCTGAGATAGGTAGAAGGTGAACAGTGAGAGACCAGATTCCGGGAGGCCAAGGGAGTGAAGTTTATTGAGGGGAAGCCAGTGGTCAACTGTGTCAAAGGCAGCAGAATAGTCTAAGTGTATGGGTATGCAGTAGTCGCCGTTGGTTTTATCAGTTAGTGCATTCTTATTAAGTTTTAGGAGGGCAGTTTCTGTGAAGTGTTGGTAACAAAAGCCAGATTGAAAGGGATCAGGGGGATTGTTAACGGTAAGGTGGTGGCTCAGGGTTGAATTAACTTACTCTTGGATCTTTAGGTAGCTATTTACCATGTCAGCAAGCAGAGGTACACTTGTCCTCCTCAAAGTACAATTCATACCAATGTTTGTTACCCTCATGTCTTGGCACAGATGTGCAAAATAGCCATGTGCTTCACAGCTTCACTTTCCCCTCCCAAAGAACGTTAGACAGAATGACACAAACCAAATGTTGCCTATAGCTATTGTGAATTTTGTTATGATTATAATTATAGCCTAGTACTGATGTTTTAAAGTTATTTATTCAGTCCTGAAATAAGGAATAGCGTTAGATAAGTGGCCAATCAAAATGGCCCTTTCAGTATGATTTATAAGATTTACTTAAGATGGAAAGACTTTCGAGAACAGTCAGATGGGCAGGCATGATCCAGTGACTTGAAGACTTTTTTTTTCTAAGGCATGCTTAGATCTCAGAAGCACGCATGTTTATGCCGATTGAAGAAGGATAGAGGAGAACACCCAAACTCCTTCAGTGCCAGCTTATCTCAAGGGAAGGCAGCGACAGTCAGCTAAAGGTGTCCAACATAATTAGTTGCTATTTCCCCGAAATGGTTTTTCTGTTGGTTGGCATCTAAAGGTGACCATAGATATAATGGACTTTGAAATCACCCAAACCAGGTAATGATCATCTCTTAACTATGTAAAGCAATAAAGATGCTGCTTTTATTTGGGAATACTGCCCCACAACACCTCTCATATCACTGACAACATTACAGCCTTGCTAAGGCTGAATACCATAGGCCAGGGGTGGGCAACTCCAGCCCCCCAGCTGTTGTGAAACTACAAGTCTCCTGAGGAATTGCAGGACTCTGACAGCCACAGGCATGACTCCCAGAGACAGATGCATCTTGTTAACAGGATTGTTCTTCTTGGAGGACTGTCCAACATGATACTGCAGAAAGGTGACAAAGAAGCATGTAAATCAGTAATGATTAAATCACCTCCACATAAAGGGACCATTCCTCTTTAAAGACATTCATGTTCATTATTGTTTAAATAGCCTGTGTTGTATTTCTACTTTCTGACTGAACTTTCTGCTTTTGTTACAGAACAACGGTTCTTTGATTTGGTGCCAGAATCACAAGCAATGTTCAAAGGTAAAATGCATCTTTTTCTGGTGCTTTCATCATTGTTGTTTCTTTAAATAAAAAAGAGAAAGTGAGAAAAATGAGCCATTAATAGTGGATGTGGAAAAATGTTCTCTCTTTGTGTGATTCATCCTTCTGTCGTTACTCCCAAGGCTTTTTAAGTACCATAATAACTCCTTCACTGTTGAGGGCTCCATTTAAACATTGCTTTTCAGTGATAGTGCTTATTCAAGACTTGACAAGTCCAGAATAGAACTGAGAACTCTTGTTCGTTTAACCCATTTGTGTCCTCTGGGAGGGGCTGCAAATCATGTCAGATACTTTTAATACTTTAAGGGCTACATCAAACACAGTTTTAATTCAGCTGTACTTCTCAAATAATGATGGGAATGCTCTATTGTACGTAAATTGAAATGACTGCGCATGAGAAATGAAAGCATTCAAGTAAAGGTTTGTCATGTTTTCTGCATTTTTGTATCTTACAAAACGCTCAGTTTCTTATTGGATAATTGGGTGAATGGGCCTGCCTTGAACGTCAGATGTAAAAAGTCATCTAAATTGAGTATAAAGTGGAGCCACCTAAATATGCAAAGTTGCAGAAGTGTGTAAATCCCAAGACTGGCTACACACAATGGAAATTTGCTTGACAGGTAGAGCAGTTCACATATGTGTATTTCAACTGTGTATTTTGAGGAACAGTACAACCATTAAGGTTGCAGTGAGGTAGTGCAAAAAGGAACCGAAATGCGCACCTCTAAAGTACAGCATTGCCTTCTTGTAACAGGTATTAATACATTGTCATTTCCAGAAAAACACCCAAAAACAAGGAGCACAGTCTCTGCATATGGCTAAGTTGGTGGAGTCCAACAAATTACCATAACTCTTGAATCATTTTGTATATTTAAATCTACATTTAAGTGCATATATATTTCACAGAAAAAAAGAAGAAATATTGTACTCACCGCGTAGACATTATTTAAGCAGCTTTTAACCCTTTGGCTGCCAGCCATTTTTGCATGTATGCACACATTTTAAAATGCAAATTTTTTAGGCCAGAGGATTACTTTCTACCCTCCAAAATTATATATTTCCTGAAAGCAGAGACCCTGTAAAATAAAATGGTGGCAATTGTAATTTTGTATGTTATTAGCGCAACTGTTTATCAAACCCAAATTTTCAAAAAATACTAAAAATACACTTAAGTTAAAGTAAAATACTCACATCATCTATCACTCCTTTGCAAACAACATACATTCAGTTATACATATCTACTGGATATAAGAATCTGGCACAAAAAAACAATATTGGTCCTTCTAAGCCAGGGGTAGCCAAACTCCGGCCCTCCAGCTGTGGTGAAACTACAAATTCCATGATGCATCTCTCTCCGGGAGTCATGTCGGTGGCTGGGAGAATCTCGCAATGCCTCATGGGATTTGTAGTTCCACCACAGCTGGAGGGCCGTAGTTTGGCTATCCCTGTTCTAAGCCATCTGACCGCAGTTCAGGACCAGGATTGATTGGAAAATGGTTGCTATGGTGGTGAGCAATCACATTAGTTTACCATTTTTCTATCTGCAAACAACTGTAAAGGAACTCATGGTCAGCCCAAAGCCGAAGCTCATTCCTACTTAAAAATCACATGATCAATCTCCGTGTTGCCAAAACTGTTTTGAATAACATGAAAATGAAATGGGTTGGGTGTGTGTACTGAATACCCTCCTAATTACCATGGTTGCAAGGAAGCATCATTTTAATTTTGTGATAGTTGTGGGAAGTCATAGCTGCTTCAAATGCAAATAAAAAGAGATCTTTAATAATGTTACATTGGAAAATCGATTGTGTAGCATTTTTTATGACTAGTCACTAATCCACATTTTACTTGCGCGTTTATTCACACATCAGCTAAGTAAGACCCCTGGCAGTTTACCCATTTACTGTTTAACGGTGTAGCTTGGATAAAGGTTAGCTTTGGATGTTTTTTTACTAATCAGTATTTTGCTACAGGGTGCTTCTCAATCTAGATGGCTGATCAAAGTATGATTTTTTTATGGCAACATTTTTTTATGTTGTTTAAATACAGTATGATAGCTATAGTTCCTTTTATTAAAGCTAATAAACATGTGCAAACTACCTCATCTACCTCATCTACCTCACAGTCAGTATATATCTCAGGAAGTCCACACACTGTAACTGTAACCTTAAAAAAAAACATTTAGGTTCTGTTTCAACAAGCTTTGTTTCATGTCAAACAGGTTTTTAATTCTCATACAAGTCTATAGGAATGCAAAACCGCTTGAAGCAGGTAAATGCAGGTCAGAAGGAGGTGAAACACAGGTCAAATGAAAAAACTTTGACTGATCTCTGAAGCATTTGAAACTGATGTCAGACTGATGCCATGAACACAAGCTTAAAGCCTGTCAACCCTGGCCATTATATAAAAGCAAAATGTTTTCTGGTGCTGCTGCATCTGCCCCGTAACTCCCTCTAGACTTGAATAGGCAGTTTACTTTACTAGATCAATATGTCTACTCTAGGAGTACAGGCTGTGCACATGCAAGTCTAAGAGGAGTTGCTGAACGGGCACGACCAGCCTCTGAGAATATCTGCACTGAGGCTAAAAACATTGGAGGAGGCTGCGGCCAGGTAGGTAACCACCTAGGGTTGTGGTGGTGCATTCTCTATTAGATTTGGCTAGGGGGGTAGGAAGGGTGGGCTGGGTTTTTTAGGGTGAAACTGTACTTTCCAACCTTTCCCATTGCTTGTGAACATCAAATAGAGTATAACCAGACTTGTGTGGTCTGCCCTTTCTTCACGTGCCTGTTGGCCACTAGGTATGACTTTAGGAAGGCATAGATGATGACAGGGGAATTTGTATAATAGAGCACCCTGTGTTTATGTACCTGGAGTGCTCTGGAAATAAACATCTGTACAGCCATCTAAAGTTGGCTAAATGATAATCCTATAGTCAGATTACAAACCATATCCAACCCATAGATTTGTTTTAAAAAGTAATGAAAATACAGTCTATAGTAACATGCTTACATTATGTGTTTTTTTTAAATAGTTAGATACAATGTAATGCTAAGTACAGTAATTGAAATATCCACATTATACTTTTTTACAGACAGTGAACTTTCATACTTGAAGTAGTGACATATTTGTCAAGAGCGTCAGCCACAATTTAAAACTCTGTGATTACAGATTACACTCCACTAAAATTGTACTGGCCTAAACCTAGCAGCATGAACCCACTTGATTAATGAGAATGTACATCTGCCTCCATTTAATGGAATCCCTTCAGTGATTAAATCAACAAGATTAATGTGAAGGACTTTGTGAAATATATAGCTTTCTCCCACCTGATTATTTAATATGGCTGTAGATTAAATCTGCAGTCAAATACTTGGCCACCATTTAAACACTTTTCCTAATCAGATTAGCAATGTCCACATTACAGAAGTGGTCTGCCGTTTATGTATCATTTTCTTTTTATGATCCTCCTGAGATTTTTGGTCTTTAGCCTTTGACAGAGGATAATAGCCAAGAACAGAAATAAAGTAGACAAATATTTTGCATTATTGACTTTTTTTTCTTTGTCCCATCAAGATTGATCTCCATCTCAATTTGTGGTGCTTTCTAACCGGGTCAAATCCAGTTTAAATTATATAAAATAATAACATACAAGACTGAGTGTATTCTCTGAATGGATGATACTAGTAAGCATTTTGATCAGAGAATAACTTTTGTCTGTAAAAAAAATTAATGACACTTCAACACAGCAGCATGGCCCAAAAATAGGATCATTGCAGATTATATTTATTGCTCCACTTGTAATATTTTAAATGGAGGGTTGGATACAGCAGGATATCTCAAACTCAAAGTTGTATCTGCTGTCACTGAAATAGAAATGCAGTTCCTTTCTCTCTCTCTCTCTCTCTCTCTCTCTCGTCAATCATATTCATAAAAAAAAGTTAATTGCCTATGAATAAAACATAGCTGTTGAGATTTCTAGACTATCCTGGTAATGTTCATTGTCACGGAGAACTTATTCTGGGTTGACCATGGACATATTTTACTTTCCTCCTTTTTATAGAGAACTGCATACAACATTAAATACATTTTACCTTCCTGTCATTGTGTCACTTTGTAGAAAGTGTGGGAATGAAAAATGAAAGTATCGGTCATTCCAATTAATTACATTGTAGATGTCATTTTTACTGAAGGTGAAAGAAGGAGCACATCTTTGTGTTTTCATATCTGAGGGCCATGGTATTAATGGCAGGTGATTATAGAACTTGACTTCTGAGAAGTGCATGCATTAAAATCCAATAATGACACGAAAAAAAAAAAACAACTTACGATGGAAAAGGCACAGCCACAGCTTTACTGAGGTGGTGCAGTTTCATATTAAAAGCATTTGTGATAAAACAGTCACAGATACTGCATGCTATGAGTACCTTTTCACTATAAACTAAACAACAGTCTATGCACATTCCTTTACAATGAGTGCTGAACAGGCATTCAACTATCTCAGAAAAACTCAGTTTGGTGCACAAACATCAAACAGCCATTTTCAACAACGATTCTCAGCTGGTTTTCTAGCATGCTCCTTAGACAAAAGACGTGCGACCGTACAGTAAAAACGGTTGCACGTCTTCCATACACTTTGCGATTATCGTACGATCGCGGGATTTCCCGCGGTTATCGTGCAATAATTGCACAGTGTATGGGCACCTTAAGCAATAGAAGCTGCCTATAGTGTCCTGTGTACAAATCTTGCTCCAAAGAAACAACTAGAAAGTTAGGAAATATTTTTAAGCAACATTTTTAGGTATGCTGTGTGAATCTGAACACATTACAAACATATGGTGGGGATTTCTAAAATTTGACTGCAAAGGTGGAAAAACACTTTAAACAACATTAAAATGCACAAAACCTGCACACCTTCTAAAATGTCATGCTTTCAGGAGTCAGGGCTCCCTTTTATGAGTCACCATCTTGTTGTAAGAG